GGTACTACTGCCTCAGAAGGATCATGTTATGAACTACTTTTTATAATCAGGGCAAAATAATGTAGCTGCCCATATAGCAGCAAGATGTCTTTCACCTGTATGAAAAGTATGGTCACTGGTGCATGCAGCGTCCCGGATTGCGAGAGGGATGTCCGACTGCCGGCAATAAGGCGCAGGCCAGGCTGAGGATCAACCCCCCCCCCCAAGTGCACAAATTTCGTGCACTGGGCCTCTGGTATTGTTATAATCACCTAGCAGAGTCTCCTCCCTGCATGCATTCGGAGCTCAGTCATCTTTGGCCAAAGCAAGTGGACTTGTTGTGAGAAACCTATGGGGACTAATAATATAGCATGATTTGGAAGTGTCTATTTATAGCGTCCTGATGTTATCAAAGGCTGCCTGGCAGGTTTCAGGACTTCCTGCTAATGTATGTTGTGCATATGTAGCTGGGAGTTGTCTATTTCCATATTGGGAAATTAAAAGCATTGCCAAGCTGTGAATATGTTTTCATCCTGTTCCACTAAAAACAGATAGGAATTATTTCCATGTTTTAGCCCATCCGTACCGTATATTCTCTTTGGGGAATATTGAAGGTAAATATAATAAGCAATTTGGCAACGGAAGAAGGTTCTTTGTAGTAAATATTATTGTTCTTAATGGTTCTTTGTTGTGTGTGTTGTGTGTTTAAGAGTAATTATAACTAAATTTTACTGAAATTAAGCAATCTCTAGAAAAATTGGCCTCTAGTGAACTTCTCAGGAAAGCACGCAGTGTTGAAAGTGAAATAAATGTTCCAGTGCAGTTTTAGGTCTGAGTTCTCACTCCTCTTAACCTTGAGCATCACCCAGCTGCATAGGCGAGGAGATGAAGCACTGTGTCAGACAGCAGGACAGCCCTACGTCCCAGGCACGCCGAGATTTGAGGATGGGTCTGCCGAAGGCTCGGAAGGAAGGATGGTGGTGGGACCCGGGGAGGACGCATCAGGACGCATTCGATGCAGCCAGGCAGCCCCGCGTTCTCGGGGAGCTGAGAAATGGATCCCCAGATCAAAGTGGACACGGATGACTTCCCTTCCCCAGCTGCTTCTCAGGATGTTCTGACCGGTTGTGATTTAAACAGGCATTGGATGGAAAGCTGTTGACCAGCCTGTCAAGCAAAATGAGCAGAAATGGCCCCCGTTGTTGATAAATACCATTTCTTACATACATTTGACTGCGCTACTCATATCCAGAACTCTTTTTTTGGGAGAAAACGAGTGATTTCCTCCCAGTCTGTGCATCACAGAAAATTCAACTATTTGAGAAACCCGGAAACAAGTTGTAAATGATTCATCAATTGATCGGTTTAGATGTCAGCGCAGGATATTTACTGTTATGCATGATAATTGTGACGTGGCTTTCCGCTATCTTAGAGTGTCAGTCCAGTTACTTTAATCCCTGTGATGAGTGAATTAGAAAACATAATGTTATCTCCGGTAACATTTTTTTTTCATAACAGGAAAATGAATAAAGGCACGTGGGATGCCTCTTACGGTGGTGACAGTATAGTTCCGTTTAGTATTGGATATTTAGGAACCCCAGAAAATACTTAAATAATAGCAGGAGAGAATCCTTAGATATGTACTCATTTTAATACGTTTCCTTTTTATTCAGCAGCTAATAACTACACTCTTCTGAATGGCACACGCCTCGTGCACCGTGGTGAAGAGACCAACCTGTGGGTGCCCATTGACGGGCTGGTTCCTTTTACTAATTATACGGTAGAAGTGAATGCTTCAAACACCAGGGGCAGCCTGACAAGTGAGCCTACAGCGATTGTGATGCCCCCGGGGGGTAAGTCCATGAACAACCTTGGCTGTCTGGACGTGTGTAAGTCTCCACTGATCACCTTGTCTACTGTTAGATTTCGTTTTCTTTTAGAACTAGGGGCTCACTGGTATTACTGATTGGTTTATTGGTGGTTGTTTTGTTTTATTGAGACCCTGATATTGATATTATTTTATTGTTTTATTGAGACTGCTTTCATCTCACACCGTGTGTGTGTGTGTGTGTGTGTGTGTATGTGTGTATGTGTAGGTTCACACACCCCCCCACACACATATCTCTTGCTCTATACATGTTTAAAAGATTGTGAAATTTTTTTTTTGGTTTGAGACTTTATTTCTATTCAAAATTTATATTTTTCATTGGAGCTTTAATTTTCTAACACAAGTAGTTCTTGTCCCTGGTTTTTTGAAGAACTAATTTAGATGTATATCTAAAGCTTTTCTATTTAGCAAAAATGGGACAGTGTGTAGGTACTAGGATAGGAAAACTCTACTCACACCACTGGGAAAACACCTTTAAATGTCATGTCTTAATGATGAGAGTTCAATATTGTCACTTTCATGTGTGAAATGTGACACCATCTGGATATTTTTTAAAAAGGACCTAACTTATTCAGAATAATTGTTTTGATGTGCAGTTGATTCTAGCCTGTTTTAATTAATTGTTTTTAAATATATTTTTTTATTGATTTCAGAGAGTGAGAGGGAGAGAGAGATAGAAACATCAATGATAAGAGAGAATCATTGATTGGCTGCCTCCTGCACACAACCCTCCTGCTGCCACTGGGCATTGAGCCCACAACGAGGGCATGTGCCTTGACCTGGAATTGAACCGTGACCTTCTGGTTCATAGGTTGATATCAGCTGAACTACTAAGCCACCTTGGCCGGGCTATTTTAATTATTTTGGGGGCTCTATATTCAGAAGAAAAATCGTTCTTACAATTGACAGGTATAGCCTTTGAATAGAAAGTGTGTCTCATATAGAAAGAGACGGTTCTGAGCTGTGTGTTCAGGAATGTATGTTTCTGAAAACACCAAAGGACAAGGGCCTCAAGACACCCCTGTCTGTCTCATAGCCCAGCTCCGGGAACCACTGTGTTCTGGACTGAGGGGCAATGTCACTGTCTTGTTAATGGGAATCTGTAGGGCTGGGACCATCCCTCACAATGAATACGAAAGCCAGGAAGGCCTCCTCGCCAGAGAAAAATAAGGGATTCCTACCATTCCTGTGGAAGCCCCGTAGGAAAGATGCATTACCCGCCGCGTCATGAGCACAGCGCACTGCTATCCACCTTTTATGATATGATGGAATGGATGAATGAAGGTTTCCTGCAGTACTTGGAACTCTAAATGGCAGAAGCCGCGTTGTTTACGAAAAGAATGCTTGAAAGAGACTTTGGGGGCTGATCGACTCAGGCAGCCTCATATTTCATGAGCCCATCATAAAAATGGGAATTGGAGTTTGATAGGTGCTTCTTGAAGAAGTGAGACCAAAGAAAGAAACCTGGGGTATTTATAGCTTCCTCTTTGAACTCTAACCCAACGTGCTGGGAAGGATAGAAAACTGTGATGACTCTATACCTCAGTGTGTGATATCTTCTATTCACAGTGAGGAATTAAAGAGTAGTTAGTGCTTTAAGAGAGATTTTTAAGTTACATAGTAATATCCTCATAACAGGATATATGGAATATTTAATGTCATATCTTCATTTTATGGCATTTACACAGACTTAGTTTGTAATTTACATCAGTTTACATTGCATTTTCAAAATAGGGCTAATTTGATCAATTGTTTATGTGTTTGAGAATGTGTGGTCTAATATCCTGTAATATTTTTTTAATTTCTATATTGATTAAGTTATTACATATGTGTCCTTATCCCCACTTTACCCCCCATTCCTCCCACTCATGCCCTCACCCCCCTGTTGTCTGTGTCCATTGGTTAGACCTATATGCTTGCATATAAGTCCTTTGGTTGATCTATCCTGTAATATTTATGTGCATGTATATGTGTATATATAGGGTATCCCAAAAAATGCATTGCGACTTTAAAAGATGATAGCTCAATTGTTGTTTCTTTCATTTCATATTTAACTCATTGGAATTAATAATGGGTTAAAAGTGTGTGTACATTTTCTTGGGATACCCTGTATACATACACAAACACACACACACACGCATGCACACGTGCACACACATACACACGCACACACATACACATGCTCATAAATACACACAGAATTCAGTTAGATATAGCAAGCTTCTATTGCTGACTCAATGCACATGGTGTGAATATATCTGCCTGGGTTAAGTAAAAGGGCTAATATTCTGTGGTCAGGACGAAACTAAAATATTGTTTATGGTGGAATAGAACTGAACTTCCCGGCTTGGCTTCGCCCCTGTTCTGTGAATGCCTGCCTCCATCATTATCACGATAAGTCCATGTACTATAGGTCCACACTCCCTGGGCATGATGCGGTCATTCACTTTGTCTCAGAAATCCAGAATTTGAGAGATGGCCTTTCAGCAGAAGAAGATGTGAAATATCTTCAAAGACAGACAGGGATTCCCTCAAGTTTATGGCAGCCATTAGGCCTGTACTTTTCTTTCCCCATTATTAGATTGTTGTTGATTACAATTAGGGAACTTATAGCTTTGAAATTATCTTTTTTATGACCTTGTGGCAGTTTAAAGGTGATACCTCATTGATTAAATAGGTTTTAGTTCATGCTTCCTTTTACTTAATGACCTGAAAACATATTATCCTGATTTACACATAAAATCATGCTGAAAAGCATGTGGCATTCACGAGAATATGTGTGTTTAAGTAGAATTAAATTAGTACTGAGAGTTATTAAAGAAATCTTCCATGGCTTTGTCCAGTGAACTGTGTTTCAAACCGAAATGAATAATAAATGAACCGAAATGTACAGAAGCGAACCAACTTATGGGCAGAGAAGGCTCTATATGCTATTTACTTTTCATTACATTCGGGTTGTTATCATTATTGCCATTTACTTGGTTTCAGTATTAGATCTCTTTTATGGTGATGTTGAATTCCTACCGTCTTGCTATGTTGGATTATGCATGATTTGTAATGATTATATTCTTAGCCATGCTGTCTTCTCCGTGTAGTTTAAAACATAATAGAAGGTTTGGGTAAAACAAAAATGCTGATTTTTTTTTCTTTATCGAAGGGTTGCTATCAGACATAGCCTGGAAAACCTCGTTTACTCCCTGGATCTGGCCAGATCCTACTCACTTGTTTAGGTGTCAACTTAGAAATTGGTCCATCAGAAAGTCATCTTTCACCAAGCGAGGCAGGGATAGGGCCAGTCTGTGTCCTGCGGTCAAATCACATGTTATTGAGGTACCTGTCTGGCCTGTCACAGGTCACAAGATCCTACACAACAGGGGCCATTTCTTATCTGCATGTTTATCTTCAGCACCTAGACCAACCCTGACACATGGTAGGTGTATGACGAACAGTTGGTGAGAGAATGAATAAATAAATCAGTTGCGAGAGCTTAATTACCAAATTTAGATGGAAGAGTGTCATTGGTCAGGCCTGCCCAGGCCTCATGGTCTCCCTGAGCGACCTTATATTTATCAAGATGTGGAAAACATGGCCAGCTCAACACACTGTCGTCCATGTAGGAAGGCTTAGCCATCCAGATGCTAGGGGACCAGGCTGTCAGGAGGGCAGGGGTATGGAAGGTAAGAATACTCTCAAATTGCATTAGCTCCTCATGCTGGGAAGCCTTCCCTATAGTGGTTACTTCTCTTAACACTAGCATAGGGTGAAACAGGATGAACAGACCTTGGTTAGTATAGAAATTTAGAAAAGGAGAGAGAAAGGGACATGGTAGGAAACATTTTATGCTTGTATATCATCAGCCAGTTGTTGGTTATGAAACATATTTGATAATAGCTTTCTGTATTTTTCTAATGAGAAGAAATATAATTAATGTACTACTTCTCATATACCAGTGATACTTCAATAAAGCCAGGCGTTAAAAAAAAACAAAAAAACTAAAGTTCAACAATATCTAATGTCACAGCCTATTTGATTCTATCAGATATTCCTGTTTTACTTTGGACCCCCCCTTTCCAAAAGAGAGAGAGAGAGAGAAAGAGAGAGAGAGAGAGAGAGAAACATGATTAAACAGTCTGATAATCATGGGTTATTTTGAAGATGGGAATGAAGGCAAGTGAAATCATGAAACCAGTAGCTCAGCACACATATAGTGGCACATCACAAATAGCACACATTGTTTATTTTTAAAATTCATTTGAAATATGTTTTGGGACGCTGGAGGAGATGTTTTCTTTCCCCATGTCTGTGTATTCAGGTTTTGGTATTTCTACAATAGCTATATTTTTAGGTTGTTTGTAATAATATAATGTTCCTAGTTAGCACTAAGATCCTCTTAAAAATGAAGAATATACTGAAACTGAGCTCTTGAATAGCATTATGGTGCGGGTTCAAGAGTTCTAGGAAAAGAATTTTAAAAAAAATAAAAACGGAATCCAAATGTTAATCCATAAATATGAAACTTTCCTGTGACCTTTACCCCCTCAAGGTCCGAAGTTACTAATGGGGTTAGGATTTCAACTCTTAATGGGGGCTCTCGGTGCATTAGTGTTTTGCATGCATGGAATTCAGCATTCGGTTTAATAAGTGGTTGACATTGGTGATGTCCCTTAATTTGCTTAAATCTAATTGGCTCTTTTATCAGTCAAACCTGTATGGATTGGGGATTGATCAGAAAGCGTCAGCCATGACTCCGCATGTAGTTAAACGATGGAGCCACCAGTTAAAGCCCCTGATGCATGATAATAAGCAAAGGTAGAGCAAATAAGCTTAGGGGAGGAAGGCAAGGAGGCTTCCAAGTTTTGCAGGATCTTCAAGTTCAGAGCAAAGGCATTATCGAGTGTATAAATTTTAAATACACTGCGTGTTGCCTCCAGACTTAAACCTTTTTTTTTTTCCAGATGAACTGAA